TTAGGACTGAATGTGGAAGGTTTAGAAGAGGCTCATGTCTAGGTTAAGGTTCCAGAAGGAGTGTTAATTAATCTATTCACTTAGAATAGCTGGGACAGTAGAGGACTTGATCAGATATTTACACTGTGTTTAGAGTTGAAAGACTTGCAGCGTTTAGTTCTCTGCATTAGTAATTTTCTGAGATGTACAATAGAATTAGAACATGTTTCACCATATACCATGATCATGTATCTAAATTATACATGTGTAGGATGTGTTAGTGCTGAATGATATTAAGTTTTAAACTTAACACTAACTGGATTTTGTGAAACGATCTAAACTAAGTATGTCTATATATATACTGTAATTCTGTTTTGATGCTTGCACTATTACTATTAGTATTAGCTGTTGGAGGTCTGGATTTTGTTGATGTTTACTCTAAATGTTTGTAATATCAACTGCTGAGTGTTGAATGATATTTCGAATTAATCTTATCACTAAATCAGATCTTATGGAACAACCTAAACTGAGCATGTTTATTTACATAGTTTAACTATGCTTATTGATGCTTACCTGATGACTGTTAGTATCAGTGACGGATGTATGGATTTAGTTTATATTTACCTTAAGTGTCTGTGTTATCAATAGCTGGATGGTTGGGTAGTATACACCGGTATGGGACGGTGGTATACTAGAGACGATTGGGTTTCAAAATACCAAAACCTACCTGCACAGGATTAAGAATTGGATTAACTAAAAATTAAGTCCTATTGATTGTAGTGTCATGGCAACGACTAGTTGAGCGGCACTACTAGGATACATGATGGATTTTAAATTTATTGTTATGGTACATCGATATGGGCTTGAGTCTTAGGATCGACGGTTAGGGAGCGTATATGCATTGGGATGCATAGCTGGATACGATGGTTGGAGGTGTACCCTGTTTAGGCTTAGGTACGCATGCCCACTTCGTATGCGTTTTAGCATGTTACCTTTATTCAGGTTGAGACCTGTCTGTAGTCTAGTGAGAATCTTTTAGTGTGACTATATATATATTTACGGACTATTAGCTATTGTCGAATTGTTTAGGATGTACATGCGTATCGGGTCTCTGCTTGGATTGTAGTAGTATAGAACTTGCGCGTGGGCCTGACCCACTTCTATTTTTCAGGTACACGACAGTTCCAGACTTAGACTTGATTGTGCTGAGCAGAGATTTCTACTCACTCTACCGACGACGTAAGACTTCTCTCCATAGTTTACTTCTGGATGTTCTATCAATTATTTTTTTATTACAGTTTGGATTTTTATTAGGGGTCCACTGGAGATGGATTCCCGAGTTGTTTAATGTATCGGAGGTTTTGGATTATTGGGATTTAAGTATTTATTTTTAAAGGATTTTATTTTAGTTTCTTTCAGCTTTTAATATTTATTCTTATTTCATTTTATCATCTATGTTCGTTTTTTTTAAATATTAATTGTTTGATATTCCCTCGGGTTTGGGTCTGGGCCTGATCAACCCGTGTCTCGAATCCGAGGGGTATCACATTTTGCTTACTTCGTGTATTTAGACCTTATTCGGTATACTTGAAACTGTGCACTTACTTCTTGTATCTAGATTCCATTTAGCATACTCGTGTCTTGTATACTTGCCTTGTGTGTTTCCAATCTCATTAGTATACCTGTGTTTTGTATACTTACCTCGCATGTTTTCATCTTCATTTAGTACACTTGTAACCGGTATGCTTGTATGTTGTGTATCTCATTTCAATTACATGAGTAGCTTAGGATGCTCCCTGAGTGTCATCTTGACATAGACGTTAGGTGGTATGACCCTTTTGAACTGTATCATGTTAGTCTAAAAATCTGAAAGAAATCGAGTCATGCATACTCATTCTCTACGAGTAAACTTGTTTACCCACCCCAAAGTTACTGGGGGATTTGTTCAGGTATGAAGACTTGGTTCATGATGCTCATCGCTTCGTGGATGACTTGTAGCTTTTAGTTTCCATTCCATGCAAGTGTTAGCATGAAATGCCTCATTGTAGCCTTATTTGTCTAAACTTGTATTCTTTGATTCCATAGATGTAAAGTGTGCATAAGTACCCTCTTTTCGTTGTATTCAACATGTCTAAGATGAGACCGGAGGCCAGTGACATGTATCTTGTATTCTATGCACTTTCGTTTTCAAAGGTTACTATGAAAATATTGAAAAATGCTAAGTCATTGCTTCATAACTTTCGCATCGGGTGTGGGAATTCCATTCTTTTTTCTTTCATAGGGTTTCTATGATCATGTTTGAGGTGTGGCTAAGGGCCAAACACCATTTCATTCTAGGTTTTGCATTGTGGCTTCATTTATTGCATTTTAAGGCATTTTTGGCCGTTGAGAGGTCATATTTTGCATCGGGATTATTTTGAGGCCGCGGACCATTGGGACGCGTCTTAAATGTCTTTTTACGTTTGCGTGCATGTTCACATTTCACAAAACCCTTGAGTTTCAACTTTTGACCTATTTTTGGGCGATTTTATGAGTTTTTATGAAAAATTCATGCATGGGGGTGTCATTTGAGTTCCTCCTTGTTTTGACATGTTTTAGATGCTTGAATGAGGCTAGAAAATGTTTTCAAACTTGTTCGGAACATGTAGAATGCATGTAGAACCTTAGAGATGGCCCAAGTACCTTACACACACGTTGCAGCAGCTTTTTCTACTACAGCAGATATGTCGGTTGGCTGATGAGGGTCCATCAGCCGGCTGACAAGCCTCGAGGGTCCATTCTAGTAGACTTTTTTTGAAAAATGGCATTTCGGTCAGCTGAACATTGGGGTTCGGTCGGCTGATGATTGAGGTTCGGCCGGCTGACCCTTGCCTTCAGTCGACCGCTCCTCCCTGGGACCTTCTCCTTCCAGTTTTCTTGGATAGTTTCTTTACACCGGCTTCAGAGGGACTTATCTGCTTCATTTTTAATTCAAATCTGGTCATTCTTAAGTCTAAGTTCAAGAGCTTGAAGTTAGCTTTCCAATGGTACCAAGCACTCATCAAAACTCCACCTATAGTGAGAGTTATTTCAGTTTTAGTGAGATAGGTTCGTGGTAACTCTTAACGGAGAAGGCCACTTTGTTTTAATTTCATATCTTTTCCGTTCAAACTTAGAATCAGGCGATTCTTGAGTCTAACTTTGTTCATTTTTCATTATCTTTCCAATGGTGTGCACGGTGGCACTCATTTCAGTGTGAAATGCCCATTTTGCCCTTGGTTTATTTATTTTCGGGTTAGGCATTCTTGCTTCATTTACTTGGCTCATTTGAGTTCCATGGCTTCATAGGGAGTCATCTTGGTGCCTTAAGGATGACATACATCTCTTGAGGCCATTTTAACTTCTTTTGCTTCCGCATCTTGGATCCGGTTCGGGTCATCACAGGACGCATTGGGTTAAAAAATTCAGGATCGTTACATGAAATGCTCATTCCAATCATTCCTTGTTTGGTATGTAATTTAAAGTGGGAATAGTCATTCTATTGGAATGAAAATCCATTCTTGGAAATGAAAACCAATTCCACAACTAAACCTAAGGGTATTTTGGGGACTTAGTTTTTTTTTTAAAAAAAAACTAAGTCCCCAAAATACCCTTATGTTCGAAGTCTAAAAACCACCACCACCACCATTGCCTTCCACCACTACCGCCGCCACCACCTTTCACTATCGCCACCTCCATTACCTTCCACCATCATCGCTGCCATCGCCACCATTGTTGTCGCTTTCAACCACCATATTACTGCCACCTCCACTACCTTCAACCACCGTTGTCACCACCACCACCGACTTCCACCACTACCGCCTTCTACCACTGCCACCTCCATTGCCTTCCACCACTGTTATTGCCACCACAACCGTCACCTTTACCACCACCACTATCGCCGCCATCACCACTACCATTTTCCACCTCCACCACTGCCGCCTTCCACCACCGCCACCACTGACGTCGACTTCCACCATCACCACCACACTGTCATTGTCACCTCTATCACTACCACCACCATCACCGACTTCTACCACTGCCATCGCCTTCCATTGCCACCTCCACTGCTTTCCACCACCACCACCACCATCGTCACCTCCATTGCCTTCTACCACCGCCACCTTCCACCACCATTACCTACACCATTATCGCCTTCCACCACCACCACACCACTACTTTCCACTATCATTACCTACACTACTAACGCCTTCCACCAGTACCACCACTGCTTCCACCAACACCACTGTCGTCGCCTTCCACCAACACCACTGTTGCCTTCTGCCACCATGACCTTTGTCGCCTTCCGCCACCACCACTGCCGCCTTCTAACACCACCACCAACACCACTATCGCTTTCCACCTCCACCACCATTGCCGCTATCTACCACCGTCGTCATTTCTTTTAAAAAAAATATATATAGAAGAATGTTATTTTTTTAATTTAATTTATTTGTCACTAAGAGGAATATTTTAAAATTTTAATTTGAAATTTATTCCATTCTAAATTTTAAATTGGTCCGATCAAATATTAGAATGGTTATTATCATTCCATTCCAATATATTCTATATTTGTAACCAAACAATAGAGTAAAAATTTCCATCCTCATTCAATCCTACTCCATTCATGTATACCAAACGCAGCATTATTTAATTGAAATAATATATATATATATATATATATATATATATTCTTTGATGTTGCATTTAGGAGCATCGAATTGAAGTATTGGAGCTAAAATTAGAGAAATTTTTTTCTCCAATTTCAATTTCTATAAATATATATATTCCATATTTAATGCTCCAAACATATTGAATCAATTTGAAGCTTTGGTAACTCTAGACAATCAGACTACACTACGAGAGTACAAACTCGGGATGAAGGTGCGACTTTACTGACACGTGAGAGGTGGGACTTTATAATATATATATATATATGTATAAAAGCCTAGAGCTTTATAGAAGCATCGGGAACAAACCCTTCTTGCTCCACAAATAAAGCATCCACTGTCCGGATTCCCCACCAAGCAATACGCAAAGACCGACCCAACAGGACAATTCTAGACTCTTCCACTTTATTCACGTAGCATAATATTTCACAAAATCCAACGGTTAAAGGCACACACGACTTTATGGTGAACAAATCTCAACCGTCAATTTGATACTACATACAAAAAGTACTATATATGTATAATATATAATATGCTCTTGAACGTCTGTGGGCTCATTTTCTATCTGTTTCAGGAATTGTACAAAAATATATCAATCGATTTGAATTGTGTTGCGATTGTTGAAAGGATTTGGAACTAGGGTTTTTGATTTGGAAGGGTTTTGGGTTGAATTGTTGAAGAGAGAAGATGTTTGGGAGGGGCTCAAAGAAGAGTGATAACACCAAGTACTATGAGATATTGGGTGTGTCCCAGAACGCGTCTCAGGATGATTTGAAGAAGGCGTATCGCAAAGCAGCCATCAAGAACCACCCCGACAAGGGTGGTGACCCTGAGAAGGTACTTTTGGGACTCTAAAGCTCATCTGATTGTGTTGTGTGTGTGTGTGTGTGTGTGTGTTCAATTGATTGTGTTGTTGACTTGTTTCGCATTATATGGTTTTGCTTTAGTTCTATTGAAAGAACATGTTTCTATTTTTTTATGCTGTTGTTATGCTCTGTTTGGTTGCTGAGTGTGTGTAGGGAAAGGAGAAGAAATTGGTTTTCTTTTGTTTTCTTTTCTTTCTTTAATTTATTTATTTTGTTATGTTTTTGTTTTCGTTATAGTAATTATTAAATTAGTCAGCCCTGTTACTCAGCAACTTAACTTAGCCTCAGAGAGGTATATTTTGTCCATAGGATACATGAAAAAATTAGGCTTTTCTGTAAAACCCCTCACATTTATATATATATATATATGAGAAAAGCCTCAGAGAACAACTTTCAAGCACTTGGGGTGTGTGTGTAGAAATACACAAACACATAACAAATTATAGGTAACCTCGGAAAATGACTTCAGATAATAGTGATTGTTTGATGTTCCCTTTTATCGAAGGGAAAAATAAGAAGGAAAATGGTTCTCAGCTTTATTGACTCTCATCAAAGAAGAAAAAAAAAATGGTTCCTTAGCTTTTTGAGTCTAACTTGTTTTTTTGAGGGAAATGTAGAAAGGTATCATTGCTGTATGGGTTAATTTCAAACAAGCACTCTAGGGTTTAATTGTAATGTTCAAGATAGTGTTATGAATATAAATTCACTCTTTTTGTGCAAAATCTAGTGTTAGTTTATTATGGTTGCAGTAGAACTGAACTTTGGGAGCTGGAATTTTTATTGCAGTTTAAGGAGCTTGCTCAGGCATACGAGGTTTTGAGTGATCCTGAGAAGCGTGAGATTTATGATCAATATGGTGAGGATGCACTCAAGGAAGGAATGGGTGGTGGCGGTGGCATGCATGACCCGTTCGAAATCTTCCAATCATTTTTTGGCGGGAACCCATTTGAAGGTGAGCTGTATATGCTGTACGCTTGAAATAATATAACTGACTTCTGTGTGATATGTTTTCAACAGATTTGATTTGTTATCATACAAAGCTATATACTGCAATGACTGATAATTTGTTGTTTTTGAGCAGGTGGTGGTAGCCGAAGGGGACGAAGGCAGAGGAGGGGAGAAGATGTTGTCCACCCCTTGAAGGTTACTTTGGAGGAATTGTACAATGGAACAACTAAGAAGCTATCCCTGTCCCGAAATGTTATATGCCCAAAGTGCAATGGGTAAGTGCCTCTATACTGTATCTTATTACCATGTGATGCTTTTTGGCTACTTAATCTGAACGTCGTTAATGTGGATGGCTTTGTGTTCCAATTGAATGAATGACAGTAAGGGATCTAAATCTGGAGCTTCGATGAAGTGTTCCGGTTGTCAAGGATCGGGAATGAAAGTCACAATTAGACAACTTGGCCCCTCTATGATGCAGCAAATGCAGCATCCTTGCAATGAATGCAAGGGGACTGGAGAGGTCATTGACGAAAAAGACCGATGCCTGCAGTGCAAGGGTGAGAAGGTTGTTCAAGAGAAGAAGGTGCTTGAAGTCTTCGCGGAGAAGGGCATGCACAACGGACAGAAGATAACATTCCCTGGGGAGGCTGACGAAGCTGTATGTGCTTGTGATTCTTTACTGTATATCTGCTGCGTTGTTTAAGAGTCGTTTGTAACGGGATTTGATTAGGGTCTTATGTATTTTACGCTGTCTGCAGCCTGACACGATCACTGGGGATATAGTCTTCGTCATCCAGCAGAAGGAACATCCCAGGTTCAAGAGGAAGGGTGATGACCTCTTTGTGGAGCATACATTGACTCTTACTGAGGCTTTGTGTGGCTTCCAGTTCATACTTACTCACTTGGATGGAAGGCAGCTCCTTATTAAATCAAACCCGGGGGAAGTTGTGAAGCCTGGTTAGTGGTCGACAAATTTCTCTTAGTGTGTTGTTCTATGTTGATTATTAGCTATTATGTTGCTTAATGCCTGAATTTTTTTTTATTTTTTTGGGGGTCAAACATGCAGATTCTTATAAGGCGATCAACGATGAGGGTATGCCAATATACCAAAGGCCATTCATGAAGGGGAAGCTCTACATCCATTTCACTGTTGAGTTCCCGGATTCGCTGAGCCCTGAGCAGGTTACGGCGCTCGAGGCAATCTTACCACCGAAACCGTCAATGGAGCTGACAGACATGGAGTTGGATGAGTGTGAGGAACCCACATTGTTTGATGTCAACATCGAAGACGAGATGCGGCGAAAGCAGGCTCAAGCTCAGGAGGCATATGATGAGGATGAGGACATGCCTGGAGGAGCTCAGAGGGTGCAATGTGCCCAGCAGTGATGACTTGAAATTTGGTTATTTTGGCTAGTGTTGTTGTAGTTGTAGTCCAAAAACAGCAGTATGTGAACCAGATTGTGGGCTTGCCAACTGCTGGTTGTTGGTAAATATAATGTCATACATTGGCATTTTGTGTTTTATTAGTGTTGTTAAGCAGAATTTTGCGTTTGTTGTGCATTGTCTGTGTTGGAATGATCAGTTATAGTTATGTGACTTAGGTTGAGACACAGGAAAGTATGGCAAGTCATGTGGGAATGGTTAATCGGAGTTCGGGGTGACAAATTCACTCAACATGTCATATGGTCATGGCCACCAACACTTGAATTAATCTATCGTCACGAATGGTTCTGTTGTGACATTTGTGAGGATTCCGTATATTGAGCATCATGGTCACGAATGGTTCTGTTGTGACATTTGTGAGGATTCCGTATATTGAGCATCATGGCCACCAACACTTGAATTAATCTATCGTCACGAATGGTTCTGTTGTGACATTTGTGAGGATTCCGTATATTGAGCATCCCTCCTCATAATAAGTGTCATTTTGGGAGCCAAATTGTGAGTTCCGGTTTCCAAAACACGACACTTATTTTTGGGACACAGGAATAAGATATATAAGGTTCTCAAAACATGAAACTTATTTTTGGTTCTCAAAACATGATACTTATTTTTGGGACACAGGAGTAAGATATATGGAGATGTATGGTTATGTTTAGAGAGAGAACTTTGGTAGGGTTTCAAGTTTTGGAGTCTAGTTGTTAAATAGGGAATGAAACAGATGTAATTGGAAGAGAGAAGATGTTGAAGACAAGTGGTTGGGCAGATATAGAGAGAATTGCATAAAAGAAATCGGAGAGAGAATTTGATCCACTAGGGTTTCAGTACTTGAATCCTCACCTTTCAATTTTGAAGAGGTAAGAAGAACTACTTGGTTACATTAGATGTGATAAAGGAAAAAGTACTAATAGGTTACAATTTCGGGTAAGAAAGTCAAAAAGTATTCAAGTAAAAAAATATATATTTAAAAAGTATCACAATTTAAAAAAGGGTTGCAACAATATTGTTCAGGGTTATTTTCCTCTTAAAATAAGGGTGTTAAAGTAATTTCATATCTAAAACTAAGGGTAACATTTTCTTTACATTTAAAAATAACCTTGCTAGTGTCAGCAAATTGTCATTGATTGTTAATCTATTAAACTTATATCAAACATCAATATTTCAAACATTTCATGGGTTTGTATCTTGTTTCAAACGCAATATCACCCACAAAGCGAAGTGAACAACAAATTACTAGCAAACGAAGATATGGTTGTCCGTCCGGCGAGCAAGTACCGGGCAACCGCGCTGGCTTTAACAGCACATCCCTCACCAAGGTTGTTTCCTCCTCCTAGACCTCAGAAGAATACAATCGAGCGCTTTCAAAGCACGTTTTAGACTGCATGCTTCAATAACACTCACCTTAATACACATATCAGCTCATGGGATCCTGCATTCGACCACTGAGTTTCTTCTGTCCATCGTCGCCGACAACAAATAAATGCAATTAGGTCCGAAAGTAAAACATATCCAGATAGGAAAAAGTAAATATAGCATAAGGTTTACAAGATGAACAGATACTAAGATTACAGGCAAGCACTGTCAAGAATTGTGCAATACCAAGTTAACAAGTTTATCTAAACGTGTGCAACTGACTACGATAATAACTGTTAATACAGCATCAATTAATTGCTCTAAGAAACCTAATGCCGATTGCAGAACACATATATCATTATCGGTCAGTTACCTAACTGAACAAAAAGAGTAGATGAAAAGAACTTAACGACTCTGTGGGCTTAGTAATTATAAGAATACATGGAGCCTAAAGAGACTTCAGCAGCTAACTTGAGATGCCTTGGGCTCATGAGCTGCATCACCACAACTGATTGAGTGACTTTCCACGGTTTTCCCCCCATCTTGGCCCTCCTCCTTCAGGCTGTCACCGTCTGCTTTAACAACAATATCGCCCACTTCCTCTGCAGCACTCTCCTTTTGTTCCACTTCAACAGTCTCAGACTCCTTGGCAAGCTTTGCATCAGGCACCTCAGGTGCTGCATCCATTATGATTTTCTCTTCTTGCTCGGACTTTGCAGTCTCACCGGGCACCAGAGCTTGGGATGGAGCTTCAGGCTGTGTCTGCTCTTTCTTCGCTTCCTCCAGACCTGGCATTGGCAGTGGCTTATTCTCAGCATCTTCTTCCTTTGCAACAGAAGTTCCCTCGGTGTTGGCTTCTGGATTCTCCACCTTATTTTCCTCCAGACCTGGCATTGGCAGTGACTTATTCTCAGCATCTTCTTCCTTTGCAACAGAAGTTTCCTCGGTGTTGGCTTCTGGATTCTCCACCTTCTCCATGTCTGTCTCGTCAGTTTTTATCTCGGTTTTCTGCTGAGAGTCCTTAACAGTATCCTCAGCTGCAATAGCTTCCTCACTAGCAACCTTTCCTTTGTTAAGGTTACCTGCATCCTCCACATCTTTCATTTCCACTTCTGCAACTCCTTTGGTTTCTTCTACAGAAGCAGCTTTATCTTCTGCATTCTCACCTTCCCCGCCAATTTTTTCTTCCTCCTTTTTCACTCCCTTCTTTGAACTTGATTTTTTCTGCACTTTCTTAGGAGGCTCAGGTTCTGGTGTTTCAGTTGCCTTTGATTTCTCATTTATTCTTGCTGAACGCCTTGGAGTGTCACCTGTTCATTGCAGTATATCAGCAGATACAACTCAATTAATTTGTTACTGGCATTTATTTAATAATATAATCAGCGCAGTCTCAATGTTTTTGAGCTTTTGTTTGGTTCACACATACAAAGAGATGAAAGGTACATACCTGCGCCCCAGTCAAAGTCAGAGGCAGAAACACCTCCAGGGTGAGATCTGAGATACTGGTCTAAGTGTTTCTTGTTCCTGATCTCCTCGCCAGTAGGAGAAATAAACACTATCTCGTTTCTCCGAGGAGTTCCACTTCCACCTTTCTTTGGAGTGAACTGTCCGTTAAAAATACACGCATACATTAATTCAATACAGCAATTTGAAAATCCAAATTAAAGGAAAGAGTTTATAGTTACTCAGGAATCATATCAAAAGAATACAGGCTGGTAAAATGCTCTGATCCATCACTTATTTTGCAAACCCGAGTAAATATAGCAACCACAACATGGGATAACACTTGCATCTTGAAACATCCGCACGATAAGCAATACAACATGGTAGCCAAGAACTAAAACAAACTCCTTAGAAGAAAGATTCCAACAAAAACAAATTAAACAATAACAAACACTAAGGCTTTGTTTGGTTTGCACATATCCTTTGCCCTTCTTGCTTCCTTTTCCTTCGCCTCAAATATTCCGAACTAAAAAGGAAATTCACCATTCAAATATATCCAGTGTGTTCTACCAAACAATAATAATAATAATAATCTTCTCAAGAGACATATTAAACCAGACTCTGCTTAGCTCACACATATAGTGAAGGAAAGGAAAGGAAAAGTAAAAGGGAAACAATTTCCTTCATAATTCCTCTCATACATGATAAAATTAGAAATCAACATAACTCCTCAAAAATAGTTTGGAATCAAGAGAAGGGAAAGGGAAATGACAAGTAAAATCTTAAAATTGTCCTTTACTTTCCAATAGCATTTTCTTTCTGCCTCCTATTTTCCGAGATAAGCGAACACGGAAATGTGATTCCTTTCATGTTGTCTTTTCCTTTTCCGCGAATCAAATCGAACCTAAGGGTAGCCAGTCCCAAATTTCATCATACCTAAAGAGAAGTAGATCTAGGCAATCTCATTTATAAGAATGTGAACTAGTTATCAGGTATAAATAGCGATTATATAATCATTTCCAGTCCACCAAAGCCTCAGTATTGCCAAAGAATGTAATTGCTTTCCTTCCAAAATGCACATGAAACAAAGGAGCATTACCAACATTTTTAACCAATTCTACTACAAGCTTTAAAGGTCAAAGAACTAATAAATTCTCTGAATATGGTATTAACAAGTAAATAAAAAAATGGTGACAAAAAGCTGCGGCGACTGGGATATGGAGGAAAATGTTATCTACTGACTATTTGAGGATGACACTTCCATGTCACTTTTGAGAGCTGTAAGAAAACAACTCTATTACCAAATCCAGTTCTTCCAACTGCAAAAGTATCTGCTATTGTGAACGGTTTATTTGAGCAAATAAAGGACAAATTACATGCAGAAGCACTTCTAGGACAGATCTCACATAAATCTCCCTACAGAATTCCATTTCAGATGATTCTTTAATACATTTGGAATTGTTCTTCTCCCTCTCCAGAAATCAGAAAGAATTCTCCATTAACTGTCATATTTGTTCCACTACCAAGAAGTTGGCTTATTGCCTGACCAGATTATGTGTGCTTACCGAGGACACATAACCCACAAGATACAACTAAAGTAAATTAATATTATTACAAAAAAGGGTTCATGAACCGAAATGTCTTCAATTTCTGATAATAACCAAGAGGAATTTTGGACTGTTTTGTGAAATTGTAAATCCCACTCATTCACACAATTCCATTACGATCCCAATCTCCACTTATAACACGGAATTGAAAAATAGAGTGGGGTCATTACCCAATGTATCTCTATTAATTGAGAGTACTCTGATGGGAATAAACGTACCCTTTGACGTTATTTGCCCAAAATGGCTCTCCTCATACTCATACATGTATTCTCATACTTGGAAGCCCAGTCTTTTACTATTGCACCACACAATGGGCCTCTAAGTCCTCAACTCATACATCTGAAAAAAATATAAATGCATACCCATAGTGAAGCTAAACAGCCAGGGTTTTCCCATGAATCATGCATGACATCAGCTAGGAATCAAACTGAGCTTTTTCCCTTGAAAATTTAAGAGTTTGTTCCTCCTTGCCCTCCTTTTCTCATATCTGAAGAGTCCTTGACTTCATTTTGGCTCTCCTTCCATGGCTTTTCTTTTACATCTGCTCTCCTCGTCAAAATCTGTGACACGAGGAGAGGAGTTGGCTGGGGAGCACATGGCACTAACATATATGTGTTTCCTACGAAATGGTAGAGGACCTCAAACCCCTACTTTGAGGAATTAACGGATCAGTGGAATCCCTAAATTGCATATAAACTCAATTTTGAGAATTAAACAGATAGTACTTTTAGTCATCAGTTTAAAGGATTTCCTAGATCGCTACTAGGAAACTCCTAGAAAAACCAGGCAACACTGTAAAGCTCACTGGGAATACTAATGCTCATGTTTGACAAATGCCTACTCATCTAGGTGACTTGGGACTCGGTTCTCAAAATCAGCCCATCATTCAACTTCTCTAACAAATGAAAACTAATTTTACCAGTTACCAGATGGTGACAAATCATCACCCACCAAAGAAAATGCAGCACTGGACAATAAAGCTAAAAATGATATTTTGACAAATATCAAAGCCAACAGTACATTTCAGTACATAAAATGGATAAACAGTGAGTTACCTCTCGAGTCAGCTCCCATCTGAAGGCTAGTAATTTTCCTATATGTTTTGCCATCCATTCCCAAGACAAGCATTGGAGTAATAGCATCATCGAGCCACTATTAGAGCAGTTGAAAATATACAATGATATTTTATTTTATACATCACATGACAGAATAAGACCATAGTTAGTAATCAATATCCTAGTCCGCCAAAAACAGTACAAAGCAACGCTAACTAAGGTATGTTTTCGATAAAAATCCAATAGACATTGTCGAATTCTTTGTGCCATAAGAAAATCATCATTAAAGTTCTGACAACTATATGACTTGAGATCCAAGAATGCCAACATGTGACCTCCATAAAAACACTTACATTAAATCCCATTTAAGAACTCAATCACCATATGTTTCGGCGGCCCAGCACCTTATGGACTCAAAGAAACTAATCTGTGTCAGTGCATTGAAATAAAAATGATCATATTAAGTTTATTGAAAACAACCTCAAGTAAAATAAAAATAAATAAATAAATAAAATAAAACTCAGGCAGGGCACCTAGCTAGGGTTTTGAATATTTCTAAAACAGTAACGTCATAGACCACCAACATATCGACATACAGAACACCATAGCTAAAATCCTACATAATGTATATGACCACAATTTCTCATATTTCTTCAACTATCCAGCAATCACCCATCAAACTGAGATAAGGACCAGATTTCCAATTGGTGAAGCCTATTAAACCAAAACATTACTCTAATAGTTGTCCATGGTATTGCAGTCCAGCCATCAGTATTGCCATTCCATCTATATTTCGAGTTCAAGCAGATGCCGTGGGGGTAAACTTGCAGCAGTAAAAAAGGCAACAGGGGTGCTTTATGATTACGATAAAATCAAGTTAGTTCAGAAACCTTATAAAGATATTGGGTCCCCAATTGCTAGAGATAAAGCATTTTAATTTGTATGTTTTACCAAAAGCTGCTTATTATGAGCTATGAAGCCTAAAAGTGATCCAGTTCCCAATAGAAGTAGGCTAAAACAAACATGATCTACATGTTCATAGACAGTTTGTCAGGGTTCATAAATCTTTTGGAAATTGACTCATGTCATCAAAATTACAAACCACATCAATTCCCAATATAAATAGACAAAACATACATGATCCACATGTTGATAGACACTTAGGGCAACTGGGTTCAGAAATGTTATAAAAGTTGGCTCCTAACATCTTATAATAACAAAACAATTCAACCAAACATGCCTTCAGGGGGATGCCCAACAAAACAGTACCTACTCCATTAAAAGTACATCATATCCTTCACTCAACATGCATTCATTGTTCCTTACAGGGGAAAAAAATCTTGCATTCATTGCTCAACTCCAAAGCTTCATGAACACATTAAATACCTTATATCTAATGACTGGAACTAATTTGCACTTAGCACAAGGACTTCTGAGCGGCAACAAATCCCAAGGAAATCTGTGGAATCCATTTAGGCAGTTTCAACCCATCCACTATCAAGTAGCAAATATGCCAACATTTGGGGCATAAGAAAGCGAAAGAGCCCACCTTGACTTAAATATAAACAAAAACCATGGACCCACTGTACAAATCTCAAAAGATGTATTACATTTGGCATAGTTTACAAGTTTTCTGATTTTTTCTTTTCTTCCCGTGGCAAGATTTTAGCCGCCCTTGAGTAAAATTCTCTAGCCAGTATTCAAGCATGCTAAACTCATTCCTAAAATAGCTAAGCAGTCTATTCAAAGACATCACATGCACATCAGATGCAGGTCCCAAAAACATATTAACCGTATGGCAAGTTTTAGAAGTACAATGTTAGTATGTGTGTTCTCCCCAAGGGTCCAGTCACTATTCCTCTTAAAAGACTAAGAGTCTCCAATCCCCATCAATGTTACTCTGCATCCACTAATTCATAATGATTCATTCCAACAGTATTAAGTCTCAAAGGATTGAATGTGACCCTGACAATAGGAACTCATGAGTCGAGACATTTCGAATAAATCATTTCCTCATCAGATGCAGGTCCCAAAAACATATTAACCGTATGGCAAGTTCTAGAAGTACAATGTTAGTATGTGTGTTCTCCCCAAAGGTCCAGTCACTATTCCTCTTAAAATAAGAGTCTCAATCCCCATCAATTTTACTCTGCATCCCCTAATTATCATTTCCAACAGCATTAAGTCTCAAAGGATTGAATGTGACCCTGACAATAGGATCTCATGAGTCGAGACTTTTCGATAAATCATTTCCTCTCTACAAGAAGGCAGCTATGGTACAAAAGTGCAGTAAGGTATACTAAATATGCACAGCTTTACCTAGAAGAGCAAGATAGAAATGTGTGCACACACACAACTACAGTATTTAAAAGAAGAAGTGTGCTTCCAACCTGTGAGGTAAGCGCAAGCCTCAAGGCATTGATGTGTATATTTTTAAGTTTTAGATTCCATATTTAAAAATCATATAAAAAATAATAATAATAATAGTAAATGAAAAAA